CATTCCTGTATTTTGTCTTAATGATTGGAAGACAATTATGACACTAGCAAGATCCAAGAGAGGCAAAAATAAAACTTCTGGTGCCTACATTGTAGAGCAAATGACTTACCGTGACATTATTGACTTGAAAGCACTCAATACATCTATACTACAAAATACAATTCGGGATGAAGGGGGAGAAAAAATAGAATGGTTAAAGATCAAACAATTAAGGTACGAAAAAGAGAAAAAAAAGTTTATAATGTTCCGATACAACTATGATGAAGAGTATAAAATGTTTAACATTAAAGGCAAAGCAAAAGGTAGGCCCAGTAATAATATTCCAAAAGAAACTGAGTTAAAGAAATGTTATATTGAACCCTTGCCTATATCGATCAAGAAGAAAAACGATTTAATTCAACTTTGCCGTAAGGGGGTAATTCCGATCGAATACCATGGTTGGTACTTTGACATACCGAGTGACAATTCCTTGAAAGACAAGTGTCCAGAACCCTCACACAATGAATATAGTGATGAAGACATATGAAGTTGAAACTAGTTACTACTACTTGTTTAATTATAGTCTTTTTTAAGTTTAAATACATATTCTAGAATCTGCATTGTTCATAGAAACCATTACAAACCTATGCAGTTGAAATGAGTTACTGGTTTAGTATTTGCTTAAATTAATTATAGACTTTTTTAATTTAAAATACATATTCTAAAAACTATATTATTTATAAAAATCATTATAAACTAATCTCACGTAAAATAATTGATTTTATAATAAGAAGCAAAAATTAGAACACTAATCACTCAAAACCACTATCTGTGGACTTAGTCACTTTCTCTTGTATACCGACGATATAGTATCTTGCTGACGAGGCGTAAGCTTATTGAAGTATGACGTTACTTCAATAAGTACTAACTTCATCTTCGCTAAGCCGAAGATGACTACATCAACCTTTCTCCGTCTTAATTTGGCTTTTATTTTATTATACTTGAAACTTAAACGATGAACCTGGAGCAAACCTTAGCTAAATTTCTCCGTCTTAGTTAAACCAACGTCGCTTGCGGCCGAGGCAGTAGAGTTTAACACAATAATAAACAATTGATATTGCAGCGTATTGACTATAAGCAGCTTACGTTTAATTTAGTATAAAGTATGATTTCACTTAAGTCGAGGTCGCTTGCGCCAGAGTACATAAGTTTAATACAATATTTATACATTATTAGACAACACATTTTGCACATTCTCTTATCTATAAGCTGATTTAAGCACGTAAGTATCACTTCACTGCCAGATCAGTGCACAACAGTTATAAGGGATACAGCGGCGAGACATCGCAACGAAAAGTCGAGAAATGGAGTTTTGATGAGAGCTTCATTGCAAAATAAATAGGCAACAAGAGAAGTTTTAATGTGAGCCGAGGAAGCAAAATAAGAAGATTTGAGGCAAAACGAGGATATTCGAGATGACATAAGAAAGTTCGAAGCTGAGGCGAGGAGATTCCAAGGTTTATATATAAGAGGTTGTCTAGGTTCGTACGCAATCATACTGCGCATTACGTCACATGTGGAAAATAATACCGCCAAGCAATTCAAATTAAACAAAGGTATGGAGCACCACATGGCCATGAGGTTGCGTGCGCAATCCGTGATCGCTTACGTCACGAAACACTGCAGCTCTTGCCCCTCGCCCACAAACTGAAATCAAAGTATTGCAGCATAGGAACTTAGACAACCTTTAATATATAAACCTTGAGGAGATTCAAGATGTCACAAAGAGGCGACAAGAGAAGTTTTGATATGAGACGAGAAANCGCTAAGCCGAAGATGACTACATCAACCTTTCTCCGTCTTAATTTGGCTTTTATTTTATTATACTTGAAACTTAAACGATGAACCTGGAGCAAACCTTAGCTAAATTTCTCCGTCTTAGTTAAACCAACGTCGCTTGCGGCCGAGGCAGTAGAGTTGAACACAATAATAAACAATTGATATTGCAGCGTATTGACTATAAGCAGCTTACGTTTAATTTATTAGACAACACATTTTCCACATTCTCTTGCCTATAAGCTGATTTAAGCACGTATCACTTCACTGCCAGATCAGTGCACAACAGTTATAAGGGATACAGCGGCGAGACAGTAGACATCGCAACGAATATCTTCGAGACTTGTTACAAAGGTAAAGTAAGGAAAAGAACGCAATTCTACGTGTTTACAAGGTGAGACGAAAAGTCAAGAAATGGAGTTTTGATAAGAGCTTTATTGCAAAATAAATAGGCAGCAAGAGAAGTTTTAATGTGAGACAAGGAAGCAAAATAAGAAGATTTTAGGCAAAACGAGGATATTCGAGGTGACATAAGAAAGTTCGAAGCGAGGCGAGGAGATTCAAGATGTCACTAAGAGGCGACAAGAGAAGTTTTGATATGAGACGAGAAAACGAGTTAAGAAGCTTCAATGAGAGACAAGGATATTCGAGGTGAGACAATAAGGTTCAAAGAGAGACGAGGAGATTATAGTCGACGTGAAGATGCGACAAGAGGAATTTTGATGTGAGGCTATAATATTGGAAGCAGGATGAGGAGTTTTAGCACGATATGAGCAAGCGGGAGGAGGAGACTCGAAACGAAACGAGGATATTCCAAGCGAGACAAACAGGTTTGATGAGAAAAAAGGAGATCCGAAGTGGGGCGAAGAGGTGACAAGAAAAATTTTGTTGTGAGACGAGGATGTTCGTAGTAAGACAAGAAGATAAGCAGGTTGGATGAGATAACGAGATTGCAACACAAAGAGGCGAGAAGAAAAGTTATGATGTGAGGCAGGAAGATTCAAGGCGAAACAATACGGCAAGAAATGGAGATTTGATGCAAGACGAGAAAGTTTGAAGTGAGACGAGAAGGTAAAAGGCGAATCAAGAAAGTTGGAGCTGTGACGAGGAGGTTTAAGCAAGTTGAGGAGGTTTAAAGCAAGACAAGAAGCCAAGTTGTTTGGATGCGAGATAACGAGATTGGTAATTAGATGAGCAGGCTCAAAATGACACAAAGAGGCAAGAAATGGAGATTTGTAAGAAAAAAATCGCCGCTGCTGGTACCAAACTGACTCAATTCTAGGGCCTGGCCGTGTCTCGTGCACATAAATCAGTTCTACCTTAAATTCGTAATCTCATAGCGGCGGATTTTTATGAAATGAACATTACCATAGAATATGTGACTATATAAAGCCGTATGTAAACTAATAATGAAAACCAAATGGCGATTCAACCTCACGATATAACCTAAGTACACCAACTGAATTCAGTCCAGTTAATACATTAGTGTGAAAATTATCAAAATTTTTGTAAAATTGATTAAACACATTCCAAAAGCACTATCATTCTTAGCATCATATTGTTCAGGTGGATCTTCCATGAACAACACTGTTAGCACACTCACCCCTTTCACCTAATTGTAAAGAATCAACTCCAGCTTACAACATATATTGCACAATTGCAAATACGGCCAACGTAATTTGAGAGAAAATGGATCATTTAGAATTTAGATAAAATCGCAGAACAAATAAATAATCGCTTGTTAGATACTGTTTTTATTGCATACAAGTTTCCTTAAAATAAGAGGACAAATTATCTACTTTGCTTTGTTGCATCTTACATCGTCTTGTTATGAAGGCTTAGCAAATACCTTCTTGGTCGATTTCATAACTCACTAGAATCCTGAAGTGTACTCGTTAACTTGCAGTAACTTGAAAAGTCATGACTTATGGCAAAAAATGACAGTTAAGAACAGCTGTGACTTTCAAATCTTAATATTCATTATTTCGAACAAAGAATGTGGCAGCTCTCACATTAGGAGTAATGAAGCACATACGCGACGACTCTCAAATAAAAGAATTTAAATATCAATGGTAGTCGCAAGATGTTATGTTTGTATCCTTATTATATTTGCTTTTGACCTTGATAATTCCGACACAAGTTGATTGACACCATTAAGACAACCGAAATCACCATTAATTTAGCCCAGATCGCTCGGCAGCCGAGCAGAAACTCTGCAATATATGATCTCCAGTTTTGGGATGATATGGTATTAGATTAATCAGCCGATATCATCCATTAACTTAGCCGAGATTGGCATTTCCGCAGGTCTAATAGATTTAGATAAATATCTCAAATGTTTTGGTAGTAACTGTTGCATTATAGTACCCTTGTGAATCTCAAGAAGCATACAATGCCGAATATGTACCTCTTCTAGCATTTGGCTGGTCATTTCGAATATCGACATGCGCAGAAACGACATTGCTTTCCGGTGCCCAAATAGGCAATTGAATATTTTAATAAGATTTTAATAAGAAATCGTCATCACCATCTAAATTCCTTTCATTTCGTCCGTTTAAAATCCTTTTGACTTAGACTTTGTTGTTAATTTTTGTCCCGGCTATAATTATTGTATTTTAAGCTTCAGTTTGGTGTTCACTATCATGTTATACTGTGACATGATAAAGAACATTAAAAAATCAATTTACATAAACGTTAGCAAGTTCACATAAACCATCCAATCCCCATTAAAAAGAAAACTTAAATGTATTGAATTTATTTTTTAGGCGATATATTTAAGATCTACACTCAACTATCAAAGATCGATAAGATTTTCGTCAATTCAATCTCTTGAAGTAACTCAGTTGCAGCTTAATCACGTCTACGGTGCTTTTATTACATTATTGATCGGGCTAATTTGCAGTTTGGTAATTTTTTTATTAGAATTAGGTTGTTTCGATGTTTTGAAATTAATAATTTTAAAAGTGCAAGTTAAAATTAAAAAGTTGATTTGCAAAATTCCTTTCCTTAATTAAATGTAATCAACTATTCGTGTCAAAAGTCAAGGTCCCTCATTTTAGAGATCGATATCTTTGTAATCTATGAAAAAAATGCGGTAAAGTTTGTTGTAATCACTGAACATTTCTACGTAACATGTGAATTTAAAAATTTTCGGTGAAGAAGTAAGCGGGGTTCTGTCCAATCGGAAAAGATGGTTCTAGACTGGGCGTCGCGCCTGTATTTTACCTACATAAAGAAATAAAGGCGCGACGTCCTGTCTGGAATATTTTTTACCATTTTTTCCGGTTGGATCGAACCCCTCTCTTCCCACATGCCTTATTACTGTTTCTTTTTAATTTATAATTCTCGTAAATCACTACAATAAACTTTATCTCAATTTTTTTTAGCCTTAACTTTAGGCAAGGGTATTAGAAATGTTTGGAACTAATTAATGTAACCTATTCATTCTTTCAAATATAAACGCAATCATTGATAAAAACAACCCTATAAATAACATTATAAAAGCTCCAGCGAGTTGCTTCAAATGTAATTTTCGCAATGAAGAATCTCGGCGAGTTGAAAATTTGATGATGTTTTGAAGTGTTATTGTGGAATTGAATAAAATGGCCTCATTTTCCCAATATTTGGTGAGTCCACTCTCAACGACACGAAAAATGAATTCATTGAAAGATCTCATTAGAGGAAAATGTTTCTTTGTGCACAGCAATAAATGGTAATAACAAATCGAATCATCCATAACTTGAAGTTTCATTAATCCATATTTCTCTATCCCATTTAACGCATAATTCCCTACAATTTTTAATTAAAAAAAAATTATTTAATCTTAATTAATTACCGAATGCTGTTATTTCCGTTAATCTTCCTATATTTCCTTCAACAGTAATTTTTTCTAAATCGTCCAAATTAAACTCAACGAAATGTTTTAAAACATCTTGGTCAACTTCCCGATCAGAATTAACAACTAATAATAAATAATCCTTAATAGAAGTTGTCCCAACTTTAAGATCGGAGTTAATAAAGTCGTCTAATTTCCTAATTGGTTTTTGATATCTCGGAACGATCATCAAACTGGACATTCTGCTATTGTAAACCATCGACATAAAAAGACTCATTCCAAAAGTAGAAATCATCGCTGCTTTGTAATTCATTGCTACCCTATATAAATAATTTGGTTGTTGGAGATAAATCCCAAAAACGTTTAGAATTGTTAAACGGAAAATCCATAATTTTGATTTGGTGTTTGTATATTTCGGTGAAATCGATGCTAAGAATAACGTTATTATTGATGTTATATAAATTATTATTATAATAATCCAAATTTCGCGTGGGAATGGGTAAAAAGCCAGAGGAAGTTGTGATAATAATCTAAAAATTAATTTTTTCTTACTTCTTAATCAATTCATAATAAATTATTTACTTCGGCTTTGGTACCATAACTTTTAACAAGGAGTTATAATGTGGTTGCGCAAAATCTAAGAAATGATAAGAGTAATAAATATAAATGAAACCTCCAAGAACGATGTCAACGTTGTTATGAGCCACTTCCGCTGTTAACCCCGTTGGTTCTGCAGTGTTATCATATTGAACCCCCCAATTAACTTCATCTAACATTTTTAAAACGGGCGTTGCGTTATGTCGCTTAATAAATTCTTGGATTAATCTCATATCGATACCATAAGAATCAAAATAAGACGATACTAAAAAGCTGAAATAATTTTAGTTGTTTTAGCGATGATAATTTACCTAAAATCGCGTATGGATTATAATTAATCGAAGCAATTTTAATTTGTTTCCCTTGTAAATTTCGAATTTTATCGGGAAATAAATTATTTCCATACAAAAAAGTTTTATTTCCAAAGAACCATTTATCAATCAAGATTTCTTTATAATAATTAGGACCATCATAAATAATCGAATAAAAATTATAACAAATTTTACTCTTAACAAGAAACGTTGCGGGTACGTTTTTTACATAAACACTTTCATAAACTTCGTTTCTATTGATATTTTCATCCAATAGAAATAAATATTTTCTATCGTTAAATTTATAAGGCGATTTTTGATCTGTATACATTTCGTTTTCAATTGAGTTAAAAAAGCAGTTGGGGTGACGAGTTGCAATTATAAATCCTCCGCAATAATGATTTAAATCAAAAAGAGATTTATTTATCTTAACCGAATTAAATGTGTCATCATCACAATTTTTTACTTGGGAAAAAATCACAATCGATTGCTCAAAAATGGTGAAATTAATGGGATAATCACTTATTAGAAATATGCAGTAAAAATGCTTAAAATAATTTGTTAAAATTTGATTTATTAAACTTGAAAGGTTTAATAACATTTTTGCAAGAAACTTTATCTATTATATGGAGAAAATGTAAATACGGTGATTTATATAACAATCGAGATATTGATAAAGTTGTGATAAATAATGTTTGTGATAAATGAATTTTCCTTATTATGATTTATTATTTGGATTCATGCGATATGGGTTTTATCGGAATGAATATTTAATCTTGATTTATACATCAAAAAGGATCACGTAATTTAAAAATCACTATTTTAAAGCAAATAATTTTAGCAGGAAATCACAGCTTGGTGCAGGCACAGTAATTTCTTGCAATGGATGCTAAAATATTTCTGCTTATGTTCGCAATTCATTTTAACCCCTTTTTAACACTCTAATTGATAGCAGACATGGGTTCTATAAGCTCCTCAATAATATCAATAGAAGAGTTACTGTAACTTTAAGGCCCGTTAGGTTATCTTCCTGCATAGTCGTCCAAGTTCGAATCGTGATAGGGATGTGCACAAATAAATACACTGCTTATGTATATGTTTTTCAGAATGTCATAACAACTTGTAGCTGGTGCGAGGAGCTTTGTTAAGTATAGCTATTCAGATTTTTTATGATAAAGTTATAGCTTCCATGCTAACATGACTTTCTGTCATGTCACTATCAGTCATGATTATTTAGGATAGAACATAGCTCTGCTGGAACTTGAACGCGACTCAAAAAACAAGGAAGCCAATGGACTAGAGCCCAGGGATTAAGATCTGAGGAATAAATAATAGTATAAAACAAAGAGATCAAAGGGACACATGAGGATCGAATGCAAAAAAGTGGCAAAATGTTTCTTTGTGACACCTCGAATGACCGGGAGGTTCCTCAATTTTAGACTGGTTTTGGAAGTAGCAGGGAAAGCTACACAGTCACAGACGACTTATTTTAATACCAACGCGAAACTAAAATCAAAATACTACGTTGTTGTGGTGGTTGCTGTGGTTGTCCAGAAACACAGAACATGAGAAGGCCACGACTTACAAACAACAATGCAGGTAACTAACGGTAGAACTATCGTCGCTGGTCATACTCCAACATTCTCTCATGTCTCATTATGGAGAAACAATCCCTAACGTGACTTATGCCTCGGAGAACATGGCAGGATTTATACAACATTGGGAAGTCCTGGAAGAATACTCTAGTAGTGACCTCCAATACATCCACTTCACGGAAAATATTCTCTGTGCTGTGATTCCAAGCAAGAAAATAACTACATTGTTTTTTCTACCACGATACGCTCGTGCTGTGACATGGCGAAGCACGTGATTGGTCTTGCTGGAAAAGTATTTTAGTAGCCGAGGAAAAAACAGTATAAACCTATAAATAGGCAGTTTGCTGATGGATAGTCGAGATTTTATTAAAATTGTAGACAGTGTGAGATGACTCTCATCAGCATCAGATCGAGAAATCCAAAGAATTCAGGTCCGTGAATCGCAAAAACTTAAAGACTCCAAAAAGCTGCTTAAATTTGCATAAAAGTAAGGTGAAGAAATGGGAAAATATGTTAACCGAGGCCCCTGTGATATGTGTTTTGAATTCATAATACAAAAAACTATGCTTAACATCGAGCTCCACAGAGCTTATATCAGACAGTATGTCAGCGTTGGTAGTAAACCGTCCAGTAGTAAGTGCAACAACAGTAATGAATAATGCCAATGTAAACGGTATATTGAGTATGTTCAACATCTGTCTAAAGGAAGGTCTTCTGCGAAAGGTAGAAAATTCAAGGACTCGTCCTTACATTGTGTCATTATATCATTTAGACTTCTGTTCTTGCTAGACACAGCAGGGATGTTCTTGGAGAGGCTTCTGCGTTGTAGGCTAAGTTGCGTCATTAAAACTGCGTTTCATCCGACAAACAATATGTATTCCGAAAAAGAAGTTCGTTGCTGTCCTCGAAATTGTAAACACCTTTGTTAAGACCAAACTTATAAATCACTACTCTAGACCCATTATGGTTATTGTTTTTGCGTTGGGAAGACATTCTATGACCCCTTAAAAATGATTTTCCTATCACGAGAAATCATGAGGATCATGAAAAACCATTTCGTAGAGAGAATGGGTACTTATTTAGGCCTAAAAATTTAGGAAAGAACCTAAGGCCCAAAAACNACGAGAAATCATGAGGATCATGAAAAACCATTTCGTAGAGAGAATGGGTACTTATTTAGGCATAAACATTTAGGCCAGAACCTAAGGCCCAAAAACCAAGCGAATGATGTAGCTCTTCTCAGTCCAGAACTCTGGAATGTGTTTTATTACCTGGTGTTCCGCTCGGAAATGCCTGAGAACGTTTTCTTGGTGAGCTAAGTGGACGACCTTACGGATGGTAATCTCCGCGCGGAATGTGACGGAAGCACTTATAAATATAAGCAGATTTATGAGAAGTATTAGAAATTACTATGAGAAATTAGTAGTAGTAGAAAAAGTACTGGGAGGAAAGTTAGATCTCATCTCATCTTCCATGGACACTTTAGCAGGGTCTGTGACAAAGCGGGAAAGGACAAAGCAATGTTAAGAACGATAATAAAAAACGAAGGCTATTGATGAATACGATGAGGTGCGGTCCGATAAGCTGTCGGGCGGTAATCGAATAGGAGTGTTTACTACTCAGAAGAGAGTTGCCCTTAGAATGATTAGTGCCTTCAGAATGATGGTCGGTCTATCAGTGGTTATTGTTACCGGTATGCCCCCATCGATATATCAACCGCGGAGAGGAAAGGAATCTATGATAATAATGCAATGCCGGGACATATATGACACTTATACTGTTTTAAATCATACAAATAAACTCTTGCCTACAATACAATTCTTGAAGACAGTCATCTGCTAGGCTAAGAATTGCAAATTTACCCAGTTATAGTTAGTTTCATTTTTCTACTAAGAACAGCTGAAGTGTTGCGTTATAAACTACACCTTTTATATCAAATATGGCATAAACCCAGATTAATTAAACATAGTTAATTCTTTCCCATTTGGTATACTCTTTGGTACCTATACCAATTTCTCCATATAGATATACCCTTTCAGAACCTTTTCAAAGATCTGTAGCAGAAACGATGTTAAACTTAAAAGTACTTCACTTCATCATTGCTCCATTTCCATGATCCTCCTCACTACTTCATAACTGTTACTTAGTGATTAAGTAAGAAATACGTGCAAGAAAAAGACGACATTGTTAGCTGACGTTCATCGTTAAATCCTACGTCAAACCACAGATCCATTGCATTTTGACAGTATAAGCACCTCACCAAAATTTACGCGTTATGATGCAATGAAAGTTACGAAAAAGCACCTCAAGCGCAGCTTTATAGAAGTGTAGACAGAATGTTTGGTATGTGACTGATAAAGTATGTATCTTGTTACTATTTGACTATATGATGTCGACAAAGAAACCAAAATAATAACACAGATCTACAAAAAAAGGGGTGTGGATTGCTGTTGGATGGCTGACGATCATTTTCGTAGTAATTTTCTCTGTGGAATCAGAATCCGAGCTCAGAATTGGACCATCACGTCAGGATTTTGAGATATTTGAGATTATGTACAAGAAAAATGGCTTTTTTTGCTACTTTTAAAATTATGTGTGAGACGAACAATATTATTTTCCTGTATTCTATCTATTTCATCATATAGTACTATTCTTACCCTTCAAAATGCGCTTTTGAATGGTGCTGTACGATTTCTTCATTATAAGTTATAACCATTTTAAAACGACATAATGAGTTGGAACTCAACATATCGATCAGTACTGTCAGATGCGAGGAACACGCCAGTCCGAATTTAACTTTTCTGGTATCTCTTTTGCTTGTGTTCCATAAATGATCGCCTTTTGTGTTGAGCATGTGGCTCATCACGTTGAAATGACCAGCAATAGTATTCTAGCATAGATGTGATCCATTTTCCCTAATAATGTCTATCCATTTTTTTATATCCTGATAACAACGCAAGAAGCAAAGCGAATTGCCAGGAAACCATTCAACCTTCACACTCATGATGCAACCTAATTTTTTTAAGTCTTTTAGCATCATAGCGACTAACACCTTATAATTAGCAGGCTTTATTATTGCCTAAGAAAGCATTGTCATCATCATTGTCTTCTTTGAAGCTAGTCTAGGCATCTGTTTTATCCGAAATCTTCACATTTTCAAAATCTGTAGTATTTTCATCAATTCTCGAATCTGTGACCCAACGAATATCCCTTCTTCTATTTTGGCATCACTCAAGTTGGGATATTTATCTACAAGGTACTTAAAACAAGTACCATTTTTATTAAGTGCCTTTACGAACTGCTTTATTATTCCTAATTTGATATAAA